GGTGGTGTGTTGGTTGTGGACTGGAGTTATAACTATTACCTAAGTGTGTGTGTGTGTAAGTATATATATATATATATATGTGTGTGTGTGTTGTATGTGTATGTGTGTGAGGGTGGTGTGTTTGTTGTGGACTGGAGTTGTAACTATTCCAAAATATATCAATGCATGCGATGTCGGTGCTGTACTCGAATAAACGTGGTTTATTTATGCATCCACACTAATCCTCTACTTCTGCTTATTCCGTCACCTGTGAAAATAACACCACAGCTGAATGGTACCCCAAATACAAGTACGTCCCGTGCCATATGCTCAAGAACATCTGGAGACAGAACTACAAGTACACAGCTGACAGGATGCTACTAGACACCGCCCACTTCAACTGGGTGTGGCAGCTGACCGGAGGAAACTCAACCGAGCCAATGAGTATGTTTGTATGTATATGTGTATGTATGTGTTTATGATGTATGTATTTATGTATGTATGTATGAGTATGTATTTTTATGTATGTGCATGTATATGTACATACATACATATATTTATATATATCAATATATCTATCAAAGATTTGTTTGTTGAACTACCTCAGTTGCTTGTTTCGAAATGAGCATGCCACTGGTGGGAGCCCATACTCGTTGTAGTCTGATTTTAACTTAAAGAACACCTGTGTATTCAACGCACCTTATCTTCTCACAGAAAGTGCTGCGTGCACACACACACATGAGCGCGCGCGTACCGAGTACGTTTGTTTCCATCATTAATCCTCTACCGATATTCTCCCTTAGTCCATGCACACATTTTCTGCCCACTCTTAGTAATTTCATATAAGAATACTCAAGCACAGCACGTTTCCGCTGTTGCAGATGATATGACGTTCGTCCAGACACGCACGCTGTTCTTCCTGAAGGTGGTATTGCGGGCCAACAACAGTCGCGGAGTGCATGAGCAATGGCGTATGTCTGTGCTGAACGCATTCCAAACCAATGCCAAGGCCTGTGCGTGGTTTGCCGAGTGGTTGATGGACCGAGATGAGGGTATGTGAGTGTGTATGGGCGTGTGTATGTACAAGTACATACATATATCTATGATATATAAATATATGGTATGTGTTATGAACTTGCTCGTGTGTATGTGTGTAGTTGTATACATATGTACGAGTATTATATGCGTGTATGTATGCTCCTTTACATACCAATTTGAATGATGTATATATATATATATATATATGTATGTATGTATGTATGTATTGATATATATGTATATATATATATATATATATATATATATATATATATATATATATATATATATATATATATATATATATATATATATATATATTATACTATTATATATATATTTTATATATATACTAGTATACTAT